GGTTACGGGTTTAATTGTTAAGGTTACGGTTTTAATTGTTAAGGTTACAGGTTTAATTGTTAGGGTTACGGTTTAATTGTTAAGGTTACAGTTTAATTGTTAAGGTTACGGGTTTAATTGTTAAGGTTATGGGTCAATTATTAAGGTTACATGTTTAATTGTTAAGGTTACGAGAGATAGAGAGAAGGGATCCATAACCTTAACAATTGACCCATAACCTTAACAATTAAACCCGTAATCTTAACAATTAAACCGTAACCTTAACAATTAAACTCATAACCTTAACAATTAAACCGTAACCTTAACAATTAAATCGTAACCTTAACAATTAAACCCGTAACCTTAACAATTAAAACCATAACCGTAACAATTAAACCCGTAACCTTAACAATTAAACCCGTAACCTTAACAATTAAATCGTAACCTTAACAATTAAACCGTAACCGTAACAATTAAACGCGTAACCTTAACAATTAAACACGTAACCTTAACAATTAAACCCGTAACATTAACAATTAAACTCGTAACCTTAACAACAAATCCGTAACATACATAACAAACTCATAACCTTAACAACAAACCCGTAACCTTAACAACCAACCCGTAACCTTAACAATCAATGCATAACCTTTACAACCAACAATTATCCTTAACAACGAATATTCTAAAAATACGAAAAGAATAAAAAACAAAAATAATAAAATAATAATCCTCTTCAATCATTTCAATATCATCAAAGTAACATCATGATATATATATAGAGAGAGAGGAGGGGGGAGAGAGAGAGGGGGAGGGAGAGATGATTCATAACCTTAACAATTGACCCATAACATTAACAATTAACTCGTAACCTTAACAATTAACCCGTAACTTTAACAATCTCCCAATACAAACAACGAAAATAAAAAAACAAAAATAATAAAATAATCCTCATCAATAATTTCAACTATCATCTTAGTATATCATGATAAAGAGAGAGAGAAAATAAAAATAATAAAATAATCATCATCATATTTTAATAAAAAAGAAAGAGAGAGAGAAGGGTATTATAGTCTTCACATATTTTAATCTCTTGGGTTTTGTGTTTTAGGGGCAGAGAACATAATCTTTATTTTTGGAGGTAAAACACCCGTTGACAAAGTCTTGGGATGGGAAGCACGTTTTCTTGGCTTTTGGGGGCTGGAAGCATTTTTCCCAAAAAATAAATGGTAAAATAAACTTGTGTCTAGGGCGTGTGAGAACATATGGAATTGCGTGAGTTTTAAACCAAATGTGGGTAAAACTTTGGGTTGTTTAACAAAAACCCCTAAACAATGAGTTAAAGTTTACATAAATTTATAAAAGAAATCTAGATTTTCAAGGTTCACCTTTAAAACTTAGATTATTTGCACTTTGGAGAGGTAAAATTTACAATCTGTTTAACTTTAACACCCTAAAGTTTTTATTTAACACTTTGATACTCTAAACATTTTTTTACTTTTTCCCCCCCCCCCCCCCCCCCCGAATCTCAAACTTTACATTTTTCATTTAGGGACCAAATTACAAGCCCCTTACGATTTGATGGACTTAGCATCAATTTGAAAGATTTTTTGTGACTAATATGTAATTATTGAAGATATGAGGGGCTAATATCTAAATAACCGTAAATCTTATGTATAGTGAGATAAATAATTAATATCAATACTCTTACGTCCCGTTTGGTACGCGGGAATGAGGTGGAATGGAATGTCATTCTCACTTCTCATTCCCTCATACCAAACAAAACTAGTTTCTTGATGTTGGAATGACCATTCCCATGGAATGGCCATTCCTACTTTTTGTTGGAATGGCCATTCCTACTTTTTGTAGGAATGGTCCGAATGGACATTCCAAGTGAGAAGATAGGGAATGATAATTCTGATTCAATGGGAGAATCAAATTAGTTAGGTTTTTTTAATTATACCCCTATTAATAATAAGAGTCAATTTAAAAATCCTGGCTTTTGACTACATATTCTTATTTTCTCTCTATTTTTTAAGGCTCCACCGAAACAAAAAGGCCTTCTTTCTATTCATCGCCCCTGAAATCGACGTGTCGTCGCTCTTTCCTTCCCGACTTCAATCCCAACCCCAATCCCTTCTCCTCCACCTCTTCCTCCGCCACCTCAACCTCCTCTCGAACCTAAAGCCTCCGACGCCGCCTCCGCCCCGGCATCGCCTCTTCCACTGAAGAAGTCACCGCCACACCCGGCATCGCCTTTCTCTTCAACGACCGAGTCATCGACTCTCCTTCGCTCGCGTTTCTAGGTACGATTCGGTGTTTTTTTGCTCGAAACTTATTATTTTAGTTAGTATTGTTTTATGGATTTTTTTATTATGATATGGGTAATTTTGGTACTTTATCAAATGAGTTAATTTATATATCTAGAACTGTGGATTGTGGATATCATTCTTTATATTTTTTTGGACCTATAAAAGATGTGATAATCTTTTATTTATTTTTATTTATTTTTCTAAGACTAAGAAATAGTGAGAATTGTTTAAAAAATAAACGAAACATACACCTGATCGATAACATGCGCATTAGTATAACACATACCTAGATTAATATAACATATGCATAAATAAATTTTTTTAGTTATTATCATTAATGTTTATTTTTATCTTATTAAAAATCTATGTTGTTATAAGGGCATTATTAGAAAATGAGATTCCATTTTCACTTGTGAACTAGTGATACCAAACATGGGAATGGGAATTAGATTTTTATTCTAGCTTCATTCTACAAACGCACCCAAACAAGAGAATGAGAATGACCATTCCATTCTCACATACATTCCATTTCATTCCTTCTTCTATTCCATTCTCACTTGACTTCATTCCCACGTACCAAACGAGACGTTAATGAAAGATGCAGGTTAATTGTAGCCATCAACAGGAATTTAGCCTAAATGGAAATTTAAAATTTTACGATTAAATTTTCTTGACTTGCATGTAGTATTAAATTGGTTTACCATTTATCCAACAAACTATTATTTTACCCAGCTAATCTTTGTATAACACCCCCCTTAAAATCTTTTAATTTTGAATTTAGTCATTCAGATTATGCAAATGTGATTATGTTCCCCTAACTGTTATGATAATTTATCATTTAAAGATAAAGATGTCGAAAAATTGACTTCATATAGTCCAAACCAACCTAGTGGCCCAAAGGCCCAGCCAAGAGCAAGTCTATTGACCCGCCGAGGAAACGAGTCCTCTTATACCGACACAAAGTACGGGATTAGTCGACCCCTTATAAGTCGGGACGACTACCCAAATAGTCAGCTCGATCACCTTCTCGGTAGTTCACTTGACCAGAAGCTCACTCGACTGACTGGTCGACAAATCAACATTGGGCGACTCACAAATCGACCCGTCTTTACTAAGGGGATAAGGTCTGGCTAAGCTACCTTCAGAGATACATCAATCAACACCACAGTTTATTGAGCGATCCTATCAAGATCGCAACTCTGACAAGCCTCGTGCGAAAACAGCTCACTCTGCCCGCAAGTCACTTCCCAGAGATCGCTAAGATACTCTCCTCTGCTCGAATGACTTCCTCTCCAATCGCCAGCCGCCATTTGGTAAGAGAAGGAGGCCCAATTAGTCAGCATATCCTCCGTTCTGTCTCATCTGTCGAATCTGGGATATTTCCAAGACCCCCTCTCCTGTGCTCGGATGACTCCCCTTCCAGATACCAGCCGACATCTGTAAAGCAAATGAGGACTCAATAACCTGTCTGCTCACCCCTCAACCGCGCTCTTGTGCATAGTTAAAGCCAAAGATCAAATCCCAGAGGCAATGGACTATAAAAGGAGGAAAGGGGGAAAAGAAAAGGAGGACGAACTTTAACTCAGGGGAGACTTCTAAACCTTTTTTCTTAAAATCTGAACAATTCTAAAAGGTCATGTCTTCTTCTAAAAACTCAATAAGAGTAATGAATTCTAGGACCTCAATGATCATCGGATCTTCCCTCAAACTCCACTCAAGCTCATCAGCTGACTTGACCGTCGGAGGTACCACAGGGGAACCGGTCTCCGCCCTCTTACGAGTTTCTTCTTCTTGTTTGCGCAGAAAGATCAAGAATTCTAGTCCAAGGATCATGCATAAAGTCGGAGGAGGAGGAGGAGTCGGCCCCACCTTTCATCCTCTCCCTCTTCGCCATCAGCACAGAGATCAGGACCCCGATTGTTAAATTATTATGAAATTATTCCCTCAAATTATTAAAATTACTATTAGGTCTTTTGATTCCTAAATTATTACAAAATTAGTTCTTCAAATCAATAATAGAATTAACAATTAGAGTGATTTACTTGAATAACTTATGATATATGCGCTGAGATGTGTACAACTTATCTTCTTGGTGTATTGAATTGTAAATGTGTGATGCAATTTGATCCCTAAAATGAAAAAGTATCATGCAAAGGACTGGTTCTTTATCTAAACTTCTCTTCATTTAGATCCTTACTTATAAAGATACGAAGTACCATCAAAAAAAGTTAAATAACTATCTTATACTGCATAATATAAAATTTAAAGAACAATTTAAAAACTACCAAGGTTAAAGGTTACAATAGTGAAAAGTTAATGACACCACCCTATCTACACCTTATATATTATTCAACCATATTATATGTTCTAATATAATATAAATGAGAATTATTTTAAAAATACCAAACTTAAAGGTTATAGGAGTCGACATTTGATGACACCTCCTGATGTACGTATAGAGTACTCCAACGTATTATACCTTTGCAACTTATTGAGCCCCTATATGTTCCCAGACATTTACTTTCCCAATTCCTATATATCTATCATCTTCTATATTTTCTCTTGCCATACATAGCCCTTCAATTTTATACAAAACATATACACTATACACGTGCAAAGCACGTACCTTCTTAACTAGAATTTACTTAACAAAACCATCAGATTTAGGGGGTGATTGGTTGCACTATTTTATAGAAAAGTTTTCTCAAAATGTCTAGCTATGGCAATTCTGTAATTAAAAATTTTCTGTAGATTTTTGTTACAACTGTGTTTGGTTCAAAATAAATTTACAGAAATATTTTCTGTAAAGTACAAAAAAGTACCAAAATTTACAGAAATTAATTTTCTCTCAAAATGAACGGAAATCACCCAAAAATCTGACACCACATTGACACTTTTCTATAAAGTTAACACTTTTTAATAAATTTATTGGGTGTTTGGTTCAATTTCTACAAATTATAATTTTTTTGATATTTTCTATAAAGTTATTGGGCTATTTTCTTGTTTTGAACCAAACAAGCAAAAATTAAAAAATTAACACTTTTCAATTTCTCAAAATTTTTTCTATACTTTTTTTAAGAAATACAATAAATCATATTTTGGATGGAAACACTTCCTCCAGTATAAATTTAACCAAACACCCCCTAAGAGGCAAAAACGCACAGATAAACTCACTAGCTACGAGTCCAGAGACAAGCAATGGCGGGCCTTCGCCGACGTCGTCGGCGGCAACGCTCAGGACGACGACGAAGAGATCCAGATCCCGATCGAGATCGCATTCACTCGCGAGCAGCAGCAGTACGCGCTGGAGCTCGACCAGAAAGCTTCGAACTTGAGGCGATCCATCCACGATCTCAGGCTTCGGATCCCTCCGCCTCATATCTCGCAGCGATTGCCTCATCTCCACGCTCACAGTCTCGCCTACAACGCCGCCCTCGCTCTCCAGTTGAACGCTCACTCGACAACCAAGGAACAGGTACTCGATTTCCCCAAATTCTTGATTTAGGGTTTCCATTTGTATGTAAAATGTCTAGTTCGAGTTGATTTATGCGATGTTTCAATTGGAGGGTTTGGAAAAAATGAGAAAAATGACGAGTACTACCCAATTTAGGCTCAAGGAAGAGATTGGAGTGATATTATGGTTGCAATCTGTGTATCATGTAAATATCCACTGAACATTAAGGAACAGGTACTCAATTTCGAATTTGGGGTTCTTAGAAATTTAAAATGGTGATTTCCAATGATGTTCTTTGTAAAGAAACTAAATTTGTGGAAATGGGATCAGAAAATTTTGCTGTGAAAGAGGAGAGTGGAAGAGAGGAAGGAGAAGAAAGGATTAAATTTTTTTAATGGGAAATTGCAGACATTCTCCTATTGGATTTTGGTATTTTAATGAACCCTGTACATCCCAGTTGACTAAAAAACCAACTTTGTTCATTCTTATTGACTAAAGAAGTTACCAGTTAGCAGATTGGTAACTAAGGGGATACATTTCTATGTAAAATGTCAAGTTTAATTGGAACTATATAGATATCTTATGATTCCAGTAATTGAAAATGATGATTATCAATGATGTTCTTTGTTCAAAAACTACTTTTGTAGAATTGGGTTTAGGAAAGTTTGTTGTGGAAGAGAGGAAGGAGGAGAAGGATGGAATTTTTGCAAGGGGAAATTGCAAACCATAATCCTATTTACTTTGATATAATTTTAGTGAATCTCATACATCCTCATTAACTTAAAGTGATCTTTGTGCATCTTCATTAACTGAAAAAGAAGATAGTTTTTGGAATAGGGGGGATACATTTGTTTGTAAAATGTCTAATTTGAGGGGAACTATATAGATATTTCAATTGTAATGTTTAGAAAGATAAAAATAATGAAAAAAAAGCAGGTCCTATGTAATCTTAGGCTCAAGGAAGAGATACAGGATTACCATCTGTGCATCATGTATATACGCTCCAACAATATGATGCAAAACACAGGGAGAGTGGAAATGGTTCTATTTTATAGAGTTTCTGGTCTGAAATCCGATTAGGCCATGGGATCTTTTTTTAGTAATTTTACTAATAATAGACTTAATTTAAAGGATGAAGTCTAAGCTATAGCCATGAATTGTACCTGGATAAAAGAACTGCATTTTAGGATTGGCCCATCAAAAATTTAACCTCTATTATCTTTTGTTTTGCCTTAAGAGGCCAAGAAGAGGTCAGCCAAGTTAAATGATAATGTGGGCTTGGAGCAAAAGCAGACAGTACAAGAGTAAAAGCGAAATACAAATGAACAACTGCCATAAAATCTGAG